CTGACTTGGAGGGGCCCAAGTCAGTTAGTCAGGAATAATCAAAATTTCGTAATGCTGGACTTGTCCACCGGCGCTTCAGTCAACTCACTGGACCAATCATCGGGAAGTATTTCTCTCATGGCCCAGAAGGCAACTCTACGGCCCTAGTGACGCCAACAAGCACGCGGTAGAGCACTTGTGGCGTCAGTTAGCTCCAGGCAAATCAAGCGGTCAACTCTGTAAAAAATTACAAAGTCAGTTAGCTCCAGGCAAATCACGCGGCCATCTCTGTATAAGTTTTCGCAGTCAAATCGTAGTTTTTTGCAGTCAGCTCACTCGTTGTACAATAAAGTACGGTCAAATAGACTCAGACAACTCTCACGAAGAAGCGTGAATCATCAAATCACTCTCATCAGTGCAAGTGGTCCAGTATATTCAGTTTGTAGTGCCTTTGGGCGCGAAGCTGAACTGGCGTCGACGCCATAGTGCCTCACGGACATTCACCTATACATCGCTCCCCCGAATAACTCTGGTGTATACTGTGAATGTTGCTATTCACTGTTTTTTGAGACTATGTCATTTGGTGAAAAAATAACCATTGGACAACTCATAAGTGTACAACCAATTATGGTACAGTCAACTCAACTAGATGTAGTGATGATTAAATTCTATTGAGTACGTTAAGTGTTATTGTTGAATAAAAACTATAAAACCCAAGCAATCCAGTGTTACTAAACTATATTTTTGAACCTTCTAGCATCCAACCTTTTGTTCTTATTCTGCTCTTAATTCATACAGTCCACTAGTTTTCAGTTTGCTCATTCGGCCGACTCGAAGTCAGAACACCATGAGTTGCAATGATAGATAATCGAACATTGAGTATTTAATTAAAAAACCAGCTTATAATCAATAAAATTATAGTAATATTGTAAGTCTTAAATCGAGATCGTTAAGGGATAGTTATAGACAAATTTAAATTAATCTTTTAATTACATTATAAAATAATTAAAACAGAAATCAATATTATCAATATTATTTCTTATGAAGATACCAAAAAATTTATTTTTAAAAATACCTTTCTTTGCACCTTTGCTACTTTTCCATCATCTTCATCACTTATCACACCATTATCGGTATTTTGATCTTTATGTTCAGTATTTTTGTCTTTATTAATTTCAATTTCACAAGCTACACCTTCATCTATTTCATTGTCAATCATCCCATCGGGATTCAAAACGTCATCTGTTATATCCGAGTAATTAAGTTTTGGATCTGGAATCCTTTTGGTATTAATTTTTGTTTGGAGCTCGTTTTCGGTCGCTTAAAAAACCGAGCATTCAAGCATTATTAAATTTTAATATTTTTTCAATTTAATGAATGAGTGTAAAGACAAAAAGATTATTGATTACGGTACAATTATTGATATGAAAATTATTATATCGACATCGTGGCCTAAGTGGTAACGTGCCATCCTGGCGCACTATGGGTAGCGGGTTCGATTCCCGGCCGAGACAAGACCCACTTATAATATAGTCTTTTCTCTGACCACGATGAGCGGGAGGCCTCTCAGAGGGCAGTCAAAGGCGTAAGCTATCGTGCTGATGACTGAATAGTACAAAAATGCTATTGCCGCCACGATGCCGTTGGGGAACCAGGCGACACCCCATTGTGGTACAGCCTTGCTGATGCTGAGTCTAAAACCAGGACCCTTGAGATAACCGGTAGAATCTCCGAGTGTAGGACGATTTCTTGTGGAACTGGGACGACCTCTTAGGTTGACACCAGGCCTATAGATCTTGCCTACCTAAGGCTGAGGAAACCGGGGGGCTCATGGGGCTTAGCGGAATCTCCAAAAGCAGAAATAACGTTCTTTCGTACCACCATATATACATATTGGAAATTGACAGGGACTGTTACGGGGCTCAGAAGGGAACCTAGGGAACCTGCAGGCCTAAGATATAAGACGACCGCCTTTACTGTGCAAACAGACGCTGTACAATAGCCCCGTAGCTGAGTGTAAGGGGAGGCGGGACATTCTAAGACACCTTCCAAAGACAAAAAGATTATCAACTACAGTACAATTATTGATATGAAAATTAATTTTATTACAAAATTTCTTTTTAATTGATTGAAAAATCTCTTTTCAAATCAGTATTGGATAAACAATTATATTTTGAAGTTGAGTTTATATTTTATACAAAATGTTTTGTAATATGTTGTTTTCTCGTAAAAAATTTTGTAACAAGTAATTCGATATTAAATAAAATTTTATTTGAAATTAACTGAAATAGATTTTTGGTCTAATAAACCTGACCTTTGTTTTCGATAGTAATGTACGTTTTTTACGTGAATGTTTTTCTAAAGCTACATATCCATTTCTAAAAACAGCTAAATATCAACAAAAATAGCAGTACACGTTTTGTAGAATTGAAAACAACTTTTGTTACTCGCATTACTATCAAAAATAAATATTTGAAGGAGATATCTTTTGACCGAATAAAAAATTAGATAAACCTTGGAAATTAATTATTATTATTAACAACGACTAAGCTCAACAATATATTTAACGTGTATATATACAGATATTTAGAACTGAAAAATCAGTGTTTTGCCAAAGCACTCACAACTGTAAAAAAATTATTGAAAAATAACACAAGATTTTTTGAATGAATTTTCTTGTAACGTAATAACATCTTTGTTTGATGGCTTTGAAATATAAATGTCAAAATCAATTAAATTATCAGTGTTTACAATTTTTTTCGGAAGTTTTAACTAACTTAATGTACGCGAACTGCATTGTCACAAAACAATTGTTATAATTCCACCAAAAATGAATTGTTTATTATTTCTTATAGCTTAGAAACAATTACCCTGATCTGCTATCAATCTCAGTTTATCTATACATTGAAAAGAAAAGCAACTATAACCAGAATTTTGTAATGTTACATCTGTAGAATATGCCGTCAATACAAAGAACGTATGTAACATCGATGTAGCGATGTTACATTACAATAACATTACGCGTATGCAACACATGTTACCTAAAATTAGTAAAAATATGTTATGTAACATTTAAATAACAGTTGCATAACAAATGTAATGTAACATAGAGATTACATTGTTATATCATAGAAACATAACATTAAATTACAAAAAATATATACTACTAGTATAACAGTGTTATATAACATGGATACAACATGCATGTAACGTTAATTATATTGCCATTAAATAACTACGTTATATAGCTACAACGTCACATGGGTGTGACATCTGCAATATAAACTTGTTACTTTGACAATATATTACAGTTATATAACATATATGTTACTTTTCGTTGTATAACTTGTTACATGTTGTTACCTTCGTGTTATATTGCTGTTATATTCAGTGTTTACTGGGATACTATGATTTGTTCGCAAATAAATAGTACTATGAGCGAACATTCGTTAAACTCCTTCATACTGTTTTGCGCTGTCTGTACATATTCGGGATGTTGATGAATCTACATACTTTTGTATGTACGGCCACAATACCTTCTTGTTTTTTCCATTCACCTGAAAAATAACCCAACTTTGTCTTTCTTGCAGTATAAACCAAGAACGGTTGTTGTCATTTGCTCGGTAATACGGCCCCGATTGTATTTTCTTTTAGTCACAAACGTTTCATCAATTTGGACCGTTTTACCTTCCAACCAATACCACCAAGTACCAAATCACTGTGTGATGCGATTACTTCAGCTATTTCTTTATGATTACACCAGGCTTTGAGATGATTGTACATATCAGTGACTTGCATCTGAATCGCGAAACAAATGACGATTGCAAGTACATCGCGCACTTCGATGCGACACGTATTTCCTTCGAAAAACGTACCAGACGCTGGGTTTATAATCTTTCGGCACGATTTATCTCTTCTCTTCTTTAATCCTTTTGAAGAACACCTCCATACCCATTTGAGTTTTTTGTCTCCAAAATCCTCAACGAGCATCGGGAGATTACAAGAGATTACAAGAGATTGCTAATTCATTTGTTGTAGCAAGTTCTCCAAAAGAATGAAAAATTTTCTAATTTACTATGTAATTCTGGATGCATACCTGACATTATGGCAACTTGTAGAAAAGAAAAACAGCAGAAAGAAAATCGACAAAACGAACGATACCGAAGAACAATTGAAACTGATACAAATAAATAATCAATCAATTATTTCGCCGCTAGAGATTGTTAGTAAATCTACTTTCTACTACAATCATAAACTGTATCAAGTTCTATTGATAGGTAAATGGCATCGAACTAATTCGGACCTTCAAGATAACTCTTAAAATTGAATGATATGATGCTAAATAAATGATAATGACTAAAAAATTTCTCTTTGTACAAAATGGAAAAAATTTATTATTCATTGATGTAAAACATTCAAATATATATAACATATTTAATTAATTACTTCACAGATGCACTTGTTTATTTTCAATTCTTTAAGTTTTTCACGAGAAAAAAAGGTGATTAATCATGAAATCAAATTAATTGAATACTTTAATTTGAACAACAATGCTATACATTTCATTAATACAGTGGGACTCCTATAATTTCGAATCCGTAATTTCGATTTCCCCTTGTTTATTGGGCGGAGCGATTCCCCCACTCTATAGTATTCCCCTCATTTCTTTTTCGCGTCACGTGATACACACATATACTACATAGTCACATGCATGCAAAAAGATCTGTAGCATATTTTAGGTTATAATTGTAGCATGTAGTAAAATTATAGACATTTTGTTGCTGTAAATGAATATTAATAAAATGGAAAGTGCAAATCAAGTGAAACGAAAATACACATCAACAACTTTGTCGATAAAGCTAAATGCTTTGCAAGAATTAAGTAACAAGAGATCTTCAATTTATGAAGTAGCTAAGGAGCTGAACGTTGATCACACGACTATCAGACTGTGGCAAAAAAATGAAAAGTATTTGAAAAAGTGGTCAAAAGAATATAATGAATGTTTTTATAAGTCAAAAAGAATGCGAACAGCTAAGAATACATCCATCGATAATGCTGTTTGGCTGTGGTTTAAGGAAAAACGTGCTGCAGGGGTAGCATTAACAGGACCAATTTTACAAGAAAAAGCAAGAATGTACAATGAACAATTAGGTGCTAGTGACAATTTTTGTGCAAGCAATGGATGGCTACGATCTTTCAAAGAAAGACATGGGTTAAAATGTAAAAAAATTTGTGGAGAACAATTATCAGCCAATCAAGAGGCTGTGCCTAGATTCAAAGAAGAGCTTTTAGATTTCATTCGAAGTGAGAATTTAAGTCATCACCAAATTTTCAATTTTGATGAAACAGGACTAAACTATAGAGCTTTACCAAAATCAACTCTCTGTGAAAAATCAGAACTTCATCCATCTGGTGTTAAAGGTCGTACAGAAAGGATTACTGTGATGGCGTGTAGTAATGTTTCTGGCACGTGTAAACTTCCACTTGTTGTAATTGGTAAATGGGCTAGACCTCGTCATTTACGGAATATTGAAATACCTGTTTCGTATAAAAGTCAGAAAAGTGCGTGGATGACAAGTGACCTATTTGTTTCTTGGTATGAAATGGAATTTGTACCATACGTAAAAGCTTTCTTACAAGCATCGAATTTACCTCCTAAAGCTCTGCTATTGATGGATAATTGCTCTTCACACAATAAAGTTACTAATAAAGATGGAATTCTTGTTAAATTCTTTCCTCCAAATACAACATCGCTAATCCAACCCATGGACCAAGGTTGTCTTCAGAATCTAAAACTATTATATAAAGAAAATCTTATGAGACATATTATTCAATGTATTGATAATAAACTGTCATTAAGTGATGCTATTAAACAAGTTAATCTCAGAAATGCTATTTTTTGGGTAGCAGATGCATGGAAAAGAATGAACTTATCCACAATCCAAAAATCATGGAACCAAGTAAGTGATTTTAGGGTATATGTTACTTTTTTCTTCAAAGTTAATTGTATAAATCTTTAAAGTTGATTTTTTTCTTTCTAATAAAAGGTATGGCCATTAGAAGATCGTCCGCAAATCTGTAATACTTCATCCCAACCAAGAATGGAACTTTTGCTAGTTCAATTTCTGAGACTGCTCCAAAACACATTAGTGTTTAAGCAAATAAATATGTCTCAATTAAAAGCATGGCTAAACCACCCTTATTTGATGACTACTGATGAGTGCCTTACTGATTCCGAAATTTTACAAGTAACAAGAGAAGAAAATCATTTAGAAGAAGATAATAATGATACAAATATTGCTGAAAGTGGAGAAGAATACTTAAGTAATTGGAAGAAATTTACGAATGATTTCAGGAAAAACGAAGAAAATCGCTATATTATAGATCAAGAAAGAAATAATAATGAAGACATTAATAATAATTTTCATTCAACACTGTCTAAAAAAGAAGCTGACCTTTGCTTTAATCATTTATTTAGTTTTTGCAAAGATAATAACTACCCTGAAAAAGTTATTACAGCTCTAAATGATGTTAAGAAAGAAATAGATAAATGTCATTCACCTATTCATGGTCGTAAATCATCAAACTAGTCAAATACTAGTCTAAAGTAGATATTGAAAATGATACTGATATATTGACTTTTCGTTTTAAAACATTTCTAATCATATCAAGTATTATTAATTACTAAGATTAGTTACATTGTGCTTGTATTAATTCTTAAGTGCAGTTACATCTTATTTAACTAATTAAAATTTTACGAATTTCTTAAAAGTTTATTTAACTGAAAATGTGCATTATTTAAACTAAATAGGAGTTTATGTTGAAGTCTTTCTCTATATAAAGTCTTACTTATTAAAAATTGATTATATATTACTGTGTTCATTGTTACATAATATTAAACATACTCATATATTATTTAACTATTGTTTGGTTTAATAAAGAAATTTGCATAATTCGTTCTAAACAAATTTCTGTCTTATTTAATTCAAAAAAATCATTGACATTTCATTCATTCATATAGAAAATATTATTTTGTTTCTGAACATTGGAGGTTATGTTTGCCATAACCAAATTGCCTAAGAGAAAAAGAGACAGAATATATTTTATCTGTCTCTCTCGATTCCCCCTCTTGCGACGGATAGTCTTAGGAAGGGGATTGAAATTAAACGGAATTCGAAGAAAAGGTCGTCGAATTTATAGGAGTCCCACTGTAGAATACTTTTGGTAACATTGTTCTTTCTTTCATATCGTTTTTCATTAGGTGAGTTTTTCTTTAAAATATATATTTTTTTATAAATATTCAATTAACTTGAAATTATTTATCAGATCATTTTTAGAGAGTAAGAAATTTGATAAATTATTTTACAATTTTTGATTTTTTATGTATTATAATTACATAAACCTATTGTCCCCCCGCTATACAAGAATAACACATAATGCAAAGCTATCTAACGTTGTATTGTACATTTATTTATATTCGAATACAAACGAGTAAGTTTAAATTAAATTGCTCTAATATTTTTTTGTAATATTTAAACTTAATTAGATATCAACATTATTGTTCCAAATTTTTTAATGACTCTCAATATTTCCAATTTCCTTCTTTGAATAATATTCATGAATCCATTGATAAATATTATCACTTCACACTCAAAATCCTTCAAAAGCTATAATATATGTTTTTATTGTCTTTTTACTTATAATCCAAAATCGATTGTGTATTAATTCATAAAAATTATAAGATGATGTTTTAAATCGTAAAGCGAACATGAGACAAATTTTAATTTATAAAATTTATTTTTTCAGCAGATTTATTTATGTATATTTATCTATTTATTTAGATTATCATAATGCAATAATATTTTTAAAAGTAATATGCTTTTAAAATATTCAATTACCTTTACAATACATAGTAATGAATAATAAAATCAAAATTCACAACAAAAATTTTATATACTTCAAAACAGAAAAATTAACATTCTACTATCTAAAATTTTCATTGATTCAGATATTGGTATTTATCGTTAAGTAATTAAATCAGAAATTTTATACTTATATGTTTAAACCCAAGTATAAAACTACAGATGAAATTAACCCTTCGTTGGTCGCGTCAAAATTTCTTCCTAGTTTGGTCGCGCCGCGGGGAATCACCGCAATGTTAAACTTAATGCGACGGTGCCACATTATAAGCAACATTTTGGCGCTTATTTTAAATAAGTTTATTCAAACTATCATACATGATTGGAGCGCCTCCTACTGGATTCAACATTTGGCAACAGTGCTCATAAAATTTCCCTGTCTTGTTTGGTCGCGTAGTGAGGGAATCGCCGCAATCGACTCATTGTTGACAATTGAGTTATTAAAAATATTTCGACGGGTCCACTCGATTCTAAAAAGTGTAATTTAGGAATATCTCGGTGCATTTGTTGATGACATTTAGTTGCATGATAATTATACAATTACTAAAAAGTGCGGCAATTCCCTCATAGCGCGACCAACAAAGGGTTAAACTCCTTTCATTTCTGAATTTCCAATTTCTTATAAAATCTTATGCTTCTTTCTCTCAAAAGATCTTGATAAGGAAAAACATTTGTAATTAGTTAATCGAAAAGAATTTCTGTTTTTAGAAAAATATGTCAATGAAAAGTAACTTCATAATATGAGTTTTTTTGAGTCATCTATCTTTCAAACTCTCATAGACTTCAGAGTATGACATACTGCAGTAAGGGTGAATATTTTCTATAACTATTACAGATGAAGCAATAATACATGCAATTTCAAGACGTATTCTATATTATTTCTCTTCTCTGACATAACAAGTTCGAGCATATTGTTGAACTAGGCGAAGAGGCACTCTCTCTTTATTTCGTGATAGAAGCTCGAAATTTTTATAGTCGAACTGAGAAAAGAGTTCCTCAGTTACTTCAATGCTTTCGGGCTCCCAACCGCTGATTTCTTACCCTTTCTACTACGGTTTTCGCTACTGCGCAAGCGTATAAGAGCACATGAGGAACTCTCTTTTCAGTCCGACTATACAATATTTTAGGAAGACTAGCGTCGCTTTGGCTAAATTGAATGCTTACACGTTTTTAATGATCAGTTTTTGTCTTATAAATTAGTAGTTGAAAAATAAATTACTTTTAATTCACTATACAAAGTAAATTGATATTATCGTCTTAAATTGTTTTAGTACTGGAAAAAATTATCATTTTTATAGTTTTATAAATATATTTCAATACCTAAGTTATGGAGAGAGAAGGTTATAGAAGATACTTGGATCCAAACAATGATGTACCAATACCACGGACAACAGAGATGAGAAAACGGATGAGAAAACGGAGGGAGTCTTACAGATAAGCTTTATTGAATGTAAGTATATTATTAAATATATTTGTAATAGTAAAACTAAAAAAAGAGATGAGATCCGAATGATCTACCCAATTTGCTAACTGCCCATTTGAAGTCCTTCTTGAGGAAGTATAGATAGTCAAACCATGTATTATAGCCCAACTCCTTTAGGAGAACCCAGGGAAAGACGAATTTCAGCGCGAAACGAATGTTTCGATTGTAAAATGATTAATCTTATATCTTAAAGTTGATGAGTTATATGGAAGACGCCATATTGGTCATCTTTTCCGATAATCTGATTGGTTGGTTAAAAAAAGAACACTATTATGGTGATGTAATATGGTTTAATATAGTAATATTTTTCAGTAAATGAAAGAATAGATAATTGTTGAAATTATAATTTTGAAATGTTCACATAACCCAACTAGAAAAAAATTTTTTCAGCTTATTTGACACCTTTTCGAAGTTAACAATTAGTTTTTCCAAAATTCATCCAAAAGATGTCTACATAGATGAATTTTCAGATAACTGAAATGATATCTAGAGTATATTTAAAACGATATCCAGAAGATGTCTGAAAAACGCCTAGAGGATGTCAGAAAAGATGTCTATCAGAAAACTAAACGTCTTCATTCAAGTCGTTCACTTAGGAGCTGATTTTACCAATGGATTGTGGTTCATTCTCTGTAAAGTTTTACTCTTATAAGAGTAAAATTATAAGAGTACTTTACTTTTAAGATTTTAAATGTATATTGGACATCTTTTTGGCTTTCCTTTAGACATCTGTTTTGCTTCATTTCAGATATTTAAATAGACATCTTTTTGGATATCTTTAAGACAACTTTCAGAATATCCAATAGGAATTTGATATCTTCCTATTTGAGTCCAAAAGATGTCTTCTGGAAAGCTTTTTTTTTAGTTGAGAACCGATAGCAACGCGCGTGCGAAGCGCGCGCAACCAAGATGCTTGTGTATATAATAATGCAATGAAAATTGAATATATTTCGATGTAAATTTTTTTCTTAACACCTTCCTGAAATTCTTTTTGCCTCACTGTGATACCGAAAGTCTAAAGATCCATGGATCTATTTTGCCCTGAGTCTTTTTAATTTCTCCAACTCAAGAGACACCCTCTAAATCGGAAATTAAGTATACCAACGTCGCTTAATATTACGAAATCGAAAGAATAAGGAGTGAGAAATAAGACCAATTCTGACAAAACTGAAGGTCTGAAAACTAGAAGAGTTCAACTGCACATGTAATTACATTTTTAAACTCAAAATTATATATAAATTGGAGTTCCCAATGCTTTTTGATTCATTCATTTATTCATACTAATGAATTTAAAATGTTTTTTAAGAATTATAAGTACTTTCTATAACAGATTTTGTAATCTGATTAAACTTGATATCTACTTGTTATCGACAACATCTGATTAGTTATTTTCCAAATTTAATAATTTTTAATTCATTTTTAAATCAATAATTTCTTGAAAATATATATTAACTCTAATTGAGAATATATTCTTATACATATTATTTCTAATTAAATGGATTAGATTTAACGAAAAAAAAATCTTATTCTTTAAGAGAAAACTTCCAATCTATCTATATATGATCAAGTCTGATCAGTGTTATAATGCAGATTTTATCAGATCTGATTAAACAGAATTAGATCTATGCTCATTTTTCGCAGGCAGACTGATTTTTTTCGACATAGAAGGATTTAAAGATGACTTCATAGTTTATAAAAAAATCCCAATAAGCAATTTTCTTCTTTATTATATAAATTTGATAATTTGAATGATAAGTTGACTAGTGTTCAGTCTTTAGAGGTATTAAATAAGGATGTAGGAGTTTGAGTAGGTTAGATATATTTACCTAGCCTCTTTTCAATTGTTTTTTCATCATTGATATCGTAATTGATGTAGGTAAATGAAGGGTATCCGAAAAAAAGAAGTAGATCTAGGCAGACTGACATTTTTCCATTTTTCAGATTTACTCAAATCTTTTCAAGTCTAAAAACAAAGACAGTTATAACAAAAAAGATGTAATTATAGAAATAAAATCAACTTTAGAGTAATTTTCTCAACAGAATTGATCATTATATTAAATTTTTCAGTTTAATGAAAATGATAATCCTTCTAATATTGAAGATTCGACTTCTGATACCGGTGGATATTCAGATCAAACTGAAAATCACGCTGAAAGAATGTCTTCATCATCATCAATTGAAGAGGAAGTTAACGGAAGTAACGATGGTTAGAATCAATTCGATTGTGTAGATAGTGATAGCAAAAGTGACATTGATACAGTCGATGATACAGATGATTGGTTTGATGTAAGTAATCAATTGTTACAATACGAGAGCTGATCATGTCCCTCCGAGACAAGTAGCGACATCTGCATCGTCTCTATAAACTACAGAAACTCTCATCACGCTACCTGTGGGAGCGCAAACTCCTTAAGCTGTTGCAGGACAACCTGAACGCCACTTACATTAGCCGTCGGTACCGAAGACTCCTCGATGACCTTCAAGGGTCATATGTTTTAACGACCAGAAGCTTCAACCAGGGGGGCGCTGCAAGAGCAGAGTGGGCGGAGCCTCAAGATAGAAGGGGATCCCGCCAAAACGAAGCCTCAAGCACGCCGACCGGAGATCAGTCAGTAGTAGTTGGGCTTCCGCCATCGCCAAGTACGCACGAACGAACGACGCTCATCGAGCACGTAATTCAATTTGCGCAGTAATTAGTGGAAAATCAGACCGGAAGCCGGAAGTACGAGGCTGGGATCGTGGCTGCTTGCAGATTTATCCTGTCAAGACGCTTGGGGAGATTCTGCACGACTCACTGCAACCTCCGAGGGACGCCGGGTAGTCACGGTGATTCTCCAGGACTCCTGACGACGTGTAACGCCAGACCTGCAGTCCCGGCAAGGACAAGGTTCCAATGTCTACAAAGGAAGAAGACACTCGCTGGTGAGCTCACCCACAATTATCCTAGTCATTCAAGGGCATTGGGGTGAGTTCACGAGAAGCTGCGGAAACAATAATTGTAACGCCTGTCTGATTCCCTATTGTTAAGATCAAATCATTGTAGATAATTTAATTGTAAATCTTGCCGTTCCGTACCCGGGTCATTGACTTGATTTTCTCTATTGAAATATTCTGTAAAATTCAAATAAGTCACTATAAAGCTCGCTTCAGGACGCGGGGGGATAACCCTACGTATTATTGTTCGGTAATTAACTTTATAATAAAAAGTCTTTTCTATCTCAATTTACGTATGGAGAAATTATCCCGGTCAATCCCTTGCGTACCTTATTTGCATGCCTTACAGGGTAGGAGATATCTCGAGGGAGACGTGACTCTACTTTCCCAAAGACAATTGTCCATCCACCTGTATTGCTGTAAATCTCGTCGTCGTTTTTCGGCACGCTGGTTGTCGAAGAACCTCTCACATTGTATTATCGAGTTATTTCTTTGCTTATTCATTAATTCGAACGAAAGTTGTATTAAACATCGAGCAGACTATCGCTGAAAGGTAAGTAAGCGATTGTATTATATTCTCGTAGCTAAATCTATAAAATATACTTCAAGGTCATACAAGACTTTACTCGCAGCAAAAACCTCTTCAATCCCTGGTAAAATAAGATACCTTCTTTACCTCACATTTACTGAAATAAAGGCTGAGTGAGAAATCATCAGAAATACATCAGAAATATTCCCTGCTGGACATACGATTTTCCTGCGCTTTGCACGCCATCCCGTATCCCTCCACCCTTTTCCTAAACCATCAAACGAGTCCACCCTCAAGCCCAAAATATATTTCACAATAAAAATAAAAAGATTAATTTTACTAGTATTCATAGCTATAAAGAAACAACGTGTAACATTTGCTTTAAACGTACAGTATCAAAATACTTTTTTTTTCCCTCGCGGTTTCTGTTACGTCCCCGTAACAGAACGGTCTCTTTTTTGAGTCAAGACACAATCACCTTCTACTCCACTCGGGTGCGGAGACCTCGCAGAGTTTATTTTAGATGGAAAATTAAAGAAATAGGTAAGGTAATCAGTGCTGGCAAACCATTATGGTGCAACAAATGAAGAAGAGAGTTGTTCCTTTTTATTACAGATAATCTTTATTAGTCTTTACTCACTTTAGTTGAATATAAATTGTTTTACAAGGGTGAAATTGATAGGTAGCAGAAAGTTGAAGTGCTGTTCAGCAGGTTATAGTGCTGCCTGAAGATACTCGGCTAGGCTCCATGGTTGGTTGATTTACAACCGCTTGGGCTCCCTCGCCGTATCGCACCTCTCTCTCTCTTACTCGTAGACTTCGACTTCGCTCGTTTGCTCACGTATATATATTTTCTCAAAGATTTTTCTTCACAAAATCTTTCCCGACGAGTTAAAAAAGATTTAAAAATTTCTTTTATTATTTTAAAGAAAAAATATTTCTTTGGTCGAGTTGAGTTTTTTTAAAAATAGACTTGTCTGAGTAAATAGAAGAATTATTTTCTTCAAGAAGAAAATTCTAAAAGAATTGTTTCTCTTGAATAATTATAAATTAAAGGAAATTTTTAAAGTTACTGAAAATGAATTTTTCTCAAAAAATCAAATCTGAGTTTGAAATATGAAGTAGACTACGGCTCAAAAATTTGCACCAAGCCCAACAAAAATTCAGCAGAGACTGAAGTTCCTTGGGAAAACCTGGGGTATGTTCCGAAATATAAACCAGTATGCTGGCCAGTGTAAATGACGTCATAAATCGACGCCATACTGGTGATTCGTTCCAAAACACTGGCCAGCATATGACGTCATACATTATCGCCATATTGGGAAAAGTGTTTGTGAGTATTTGATAAAATTTTGTGCTCCAAAAGTTATTCCAAATCTAGTACAGCAAAAACATTGATTTTAATTAATTCGTTAAGAATGGAGATACCAACAGTTACGTTAGTATGCCGAGTTGCCACTGAAATTCACTCTGATTCATCCGATAGTGATTCTGATGATGATGAGTTAGTGCTTGCTTATTTACAAGATAACCAAGGAGGAGAAAGAATTGTAAGAATATACAATTATGTGGCATTTACTGTCCTTCGAATGTCGGATAAAACATTTAAAAGCCATTTCAGGTAATTTGTTATTATGTCCAGAAAAGGTAATATTAATGAATGTTTTAAATCTGTCAATGTCATTTCTTTTAGAGTTGAAAGGAGCACTGTCGATTATTTAATGAATTTACTTGGGTCAGATTTATCCATAGTAATTGGTAATCCTGGTAGATCTCCTATTCCTGTTTATACTCAAATCCTCATGGCGCTTTGGATGATGGCCACTCCAGATTCCTATAGGTGAATAAAAAATCATCGGCTTTAAAATGTTTATTTGGTAATGTACAATTATATGAAACATAAAAAATATTAATCGTATTTACAGATCTGTTTGCGAGCGCTTCGACATAGGCAAGGCTACTGGCTGGAGAACCGTTTGGAAATTTGTGAAAGCTTTGTATAAATATTTACCAACATTCATCAAATGGCCTAGCACTCAAGAAGCTCTAATAACTGCAGCTTATATTGACAGACGATATGGATTCCCCGGGGTGATAGGAGCTGTTGATGGAACTCATATTAACATTCCAGCACCTCATCTTAATGCTCAAAATTATATCAACAGGAAAGGAAGATATTCCATACAAACTCAGGTAATGATGAGATCAATATTTTGCAATAGTTAATTTAAAAGAATATAATACAAAATAGAATTTCGTTTACACAATACTTTGCATGTTAAAAATATTTTATAAATGAATCTTTATTTTGGACTCAAATATGTATAGCGTTTTTGATACAAAAAACATCTTTCTTATTTTTTCTTGAACTCCATATCTGTAGCTTTTAGCTGATTTTTATGTTTCTGCTCTGGTAATCATCAAAGTCTTCTCCAACTCTGATATTTTTTATTGTTGTAGAAAATTCATTTGTGCTAAGCTTTAGTTTACCTGACTGCATAACTTTACAACAGATGTTGTAAAAATCCAACTAATTATTCTTCAAATTTTAACTTTTTTATGCTTAATCTTCTAGATTAATTATAAATTTCTGACTTTTCCATGATATTTCTCTTACTTAGGCGTTGTTATTTCTGTAATCAATTTTGTTATATTCTCTTCATATTTTTTAACAACAATTTTTTTATATTTTGTAAGTTGTATGCGATCACACCCGAAAATTTATTCATGTCTATGCTGGTGAAGTCGGCTCGGTCCATGATGCAAGAGTTTTTCGACTTTCAGGAGTACAAAATCTTTGTGTTCCAGCCAATTTTCCTCAAGACACTCATTTACTGGGTGATCAAGCGTATTCGTTACAACCTTGTGTAATGGTACCTTATAAAAATAATCGTCATTTAACGAATGCCGAACTTCATTACAATAGAGTTCAGTCATCAGCACGCATGATAGTGGAACAATCCATTGGATTACTGAAAGGGAGATTTCGCAGTTTATTGGACAAGTTACCTATTAGACGAACAGACCTGATACCTTATTACATCGTGGCATGTTGCATCTTGCATAATATTTGTATTTTGCAAGATGATTTGATACAATTTCCAATAATAATTAACGGTAATGTTGGAAATGTACTTAATGCACCTCCAATGATTAACAATACTATGCGAAGAGATGGTATGAGGAAAAGAGAAAGAATAAAAAATGCGCTTTAAAGATTCATGATATAAAATTCTTTTTGTATTCTCCTATATTATTTATTTGAATAAAAACATTTATTTCGTTTTTGTAATCTTTTATCTTGTTTTTTTTTGGACTTGCTATCTTCGGAAATAACCGTATTTATTAATTAGCAATGTAATTAACTGACAGAAAGGAATTTCCATAATTCCTTTATTGAGAAATTCTAAACCCTGCCATAAAGATTAAGAAAAAAAAATTAAATTATCCGAATAATTTAGATAAAAATATTTCTTACAATCATCATTAATATTTCGTATGATTGTTAATGTTGCTGCAATAAACAACTAGTTATTCGATTAAATTTTTATTTAAAGAAATTTATTTGTTTGTCAACATTTTTTGTCACATCTAATCTAGATTGCATTTTAGTACTCTAATCCATCACTGACATAAGAAGAAATTGGTTAAAAAGGGTCATTACATTTATTGTTAAGGAATTAAACTTAATTTTGTAATCCAGTTTATAAAGTATATTCTTTTTTATTAATATAAAACATATTTCCATAAATTCAATACAAAACAACATTATTTTTTTGTTTATGAACGTATTATACTGTAGTATACCTAATGAAGATCTTTATTGAATAATCAAAATTTAAGAACATAGAATTAGAATGAAATATTTAATAAAATCGTCATAGTTTGATACGGATTAAGAATTATGAACCAATTGGCTGTTATGCTTAATGAAGTTCTTTTGAAAGTTTCGTCAAAAATTATAATTTTTTTAATATCTTCAGCTCTTTAAATGCATAAAAATTCCATTGTTACTGGCAATGCTTCTCACCACTATGATTGCACGGCATATTGCAACTTCAAAAACAAAAGTTGGTAAATTACACATTCATAGATTGAGACATGATATAAAGGTATTTTCCAAAAATGATTACAATATCAAAAATACTAACCATCTTTCGTGGTATCCTTGGCTGATGGCCACAATGACTATCAGCAACAAAAACGATCCAACAACTGAACAAATAACGTGATGGTTAGTTTGGACGGAGATCAATAGTTAATAAGGCACTCCAACAATGCTGAACGAAACTTAGAAATTAACCTGCAATAAATGCATGTGGCAATCATAGATATTCCTTATTAGATGATGCAATAATGTACTAAATGAAGCTAATTGAACTTACTATCACAGCAACTTAAGCTGAATTATATATATCAATCTTAGCTTTTTTAGCAGCAGCAATGACCGCAATACTGCCTGCCATTGATTCAATGCTATCATTGAGTCTATCTAAACGAGACATTTTCTCACGACGATACAAGATATCAGTTTCTTTCTTTAATCGCCGTTCTACCATCATTTCTTCAAGAAAATGATCCAACGGCTTCTCACGTCTTGGTCGTGGATTAGCTACTTCAACTATTTCAATAATAAATTCCAAATATTAATTATTATTCTATTTGAAAATTTTGAAAGGACTTACTCATATTATCTGGAATGCCATTTCCTGCCACTGATAATGGCTTTACCCAAAGTTCTTTGTGGAAAAGTTCATGCATTACCTGTTAAAAAAAATACGACAATTTAACGATATTATTTACTTATTTTTGATGTTATTATTATAACTATTTTTTATTATGAGACTTAATTATTACATATCTTGAAATTTTTCTCGTTAAAAATACATGGAATCTACTGGTGTATATAAATTTGAGTACTATAATGTTACCTTTTTTCATGTACTGATGAAGCAGCTGTGACCCGTAACCTGGCTCTGAAAAGCATTAATGAACATTGACATTAATATTCAAATTATTTAAAATAACAATAAGTTTTTATTAGGTTAGATGTCAAAATTTCATGACTTACCTGCATATGCTCTTAAATACTCTTCTTGAGTCACATGAAATGAGTAGGATTGTTGTTTTTCTTCATCATATAAATGTAATTCTTTTAATTCTGACATTTTTTCAAAATTAAAATAAATAAATAGAAATATTTAAAAGCCACACTACTTACACAACGGTTAACGTATAGAATGAATTAAGGCGGCAAACAGTCCAATATGGCGGCACACCAGTACAATATGGCGTCGATTCATGACGTCACTTGCACTGGCCAGCATACTGGTTTATATTTCGGAACATACCCCTGGACTATTTATCCAGGGTTCCAACCCCTCTGAAAAGCTGGAGGTGGTAGCTTTAATGTTCTTTCTGCCAATCCGGTAAATTTGAATATCCAAATTTCCTTTGGTCAGGCTATCCACGTGCGGGCTTCTTGAACTGCCTTTACGCTCGCTTCCTCGTCTTTCCTTCACCTGTCTGTCCACCTAGCGTCCTTGAGTTTCCCCTTGGTGCCTTCAAGTCTGACTTCACTTATTGATTTTTCTTTACCTGACTTTTCTCTGCATACTGTCCTTTTCCTTTTTAAAATTTAATATTCTTTTTTGTTTAACAAAAATGTTGTGTACTCTGGTACATAACAGTTTCTATGAACTGAAAAAACAAACCAGTTAAATTCCGGTTAAATAATCGAACCGAAATTCAACCGTTTTTTCTCGGTTAAAAAGCAGTTAAATCTAGTCGATATAAAACATATTCCGCCAGAAAAACTCGAATCTAACAATTATTGATGTTTTTTCATTATTTATAACAAATACAGGCTATTTTAAACAAATTTAATATGCGAGAGTAGATATAAAATCAATTGTTTATTGAAAGATATTGTTTTTTTTAACTGATATTTATTTTGTTTCTACAAATATTTTTTTGCATTCAAATACGCGAGATCTATTTTTATTATTCAACCAATATTTGACCGGTTTTTAACCAATATTTAACCGTTATATACGTCCGGATATATAAAAAATATTCTAGTTATTTAACCAGTTTCTAACTCATATTTAACTTGTTTTATTCAGTTAAATACTTTATATTTAACCGAGATTTAACCGTGAATATCCAGTTAAATACGCGAGTTATTTAACTGCTTTTTAACCGTTTTTTAACCGAGAAAAAACGGTTGAATTTCGGTTCGATTATTTAACCTATTTTTAACCACTTTCTTACCAGAAAATAACTGGAATTTAACTCAAATTTAATTAGATTTTAACGATTTTTTAACCGTAGAATTCCAGTTCCTAGAAACCGCGAGGGTTGTAAAAAACTTTAGTTAAAATCACTTTTTCTCTTTTTTTCTGAAATGTATGTATTGTGACGTTATTTTTGGGATAACGTCCCATTGACACCTTAAAGAATAATTTAATTAATATTGGAAGCTAATCGTAGCCCATTTGGGTTGCTCTAGCTATTGTTCACGTCATATTTTATTATTTTGAGTCCTCAGGGGCTATTTAACCGATGGTTACAGTGATGGTTCACGTCTGGTTTATAAACTATTTTAATCTAATGAATTGTAGTTATTTTTGTTATTACTTGTTTTGAAAATATTAATGTAAAGGGAGGTAGCAAGGTTGGAAGATTATGTATTTAATTTTGGTAGTAGGAAAAGACTCAGTAGGATGGGGAGGAGTTGGTAGAGGAGAAGTGAGAAATATTTGAGGAGCTGTGAAACCATTAAGTGGAGAAGTGGATCGCTAACGTGGAGTAGAGGGCCAAACGAAACGTGCCACCCGTTAGTTGGTCCATGCTAGAAGACGTTCTAGCCCTGTGAGTGATCATCACTGGATCAGGCCCAGTAATATGGCACTCCAATGGAAGAGATGGAGGTGTGGAATGGGCATTGTGGAGATGTTGTGAAGCAATTAGTTTTAAGTTGAAGAATTAGATATAAGTTTGCAGGCCTTGTGAGGGAAGCCTGATCAACCTCACCTCCAAGGAAGCACCTAGGTTAAGTCGCCCTTCCACAATGAAATCTAGGAGAGATCGCGTGATGAAGCTACTAATGGAGAAGTGGTTCTGCAAATAAGAAGATTGATTGTGAGATTGGAGTGGGGATAAAGAATGCAGAGCGTACAATTTTGGAGTTTGATAAAGAGAGAAGTAGTTTAGAGCTTGAAGGGAAGAGAGTTCGTTTTTGGAGATCGACGAGAGCAGTTCGATTCTGGTAATCGAAGGAAGCAGTTAGAAATTGGAGTTCGAAGATTGAAGATGGCGAGGGTTATTGGAGGTTGAAGACGAGAACAGGCCCCGGAGGAAGAAACGATCAAGTAGAGTTATGGCAGACTACAGGGAGGTCCCTGATGCATAGAGGAGGTTCCAGAATATCCAGGAACGTGTCGAGACCAGTTTACGACACCTAAGTATCCTCTGCAGCTCCTGTAAGTCGTATTGAGTCTGATATTTGGTAATTTTTGATAGTTTTGTTACAGTTTAGAAGTAGAATAATGAAATGTAAGGAATCTTCCACCCTTGGCTTGCTTTCGTGATTTAGTTAGTTAATAAATTTAGTTCAGAGTGTTATAGTTTAAATTATAAGAGATATTGATGATTTTGCTTCGGGTTTTAGAGTCATTTACAAGATAAAAATCAGGGTATTTGAGATTAGAGCCGTTAGATTAAGGTTAATTAATGTTTAAGTTTGAGAAACGATAGGTAATTATTTAAAAATTGTTCCAGAATTCGAGTTAGAATTATTTGTTTGTAAAATATTTTTCTTTATTGATGATGCCGAATCGTTACAGAATGATTTATGATTGTTGTTAATTGATTAATGAATAAGAAAATTGATTTTGTTCTAATAAATTAAGCATTAATTGATAATTGGTATTTAAATACTTAGTAAAGAAGAGCCTTCAACTCCAGTTTGTTTATTCAACAATTTTGAATACTTTTGTGGGGTTCAACCGAGAATTATTGCCGGCCCTGACCCTCTCTCCACAACCCACATAACTGAGCTCCAGGAGATCCCCTGTCAGGACCTCTTTACCAGCAGCATCTTAATTAAGTTTAGTTTAAGATTTCGTAATTAGTTTTAAGATTTTTGGGAATCGTGAGAATTTGGTTGGATTTTGATTTTAGTTTTTAAGATTAGTTGTAAGTTTTGGTCTAGGCTTAAGTTTTTTTTTGGATTTAGATGTAAGTTTTGCCAGTTTAGTTATTCTGGCGATAAAAATAACTTGGCGCCCGTCGTTTATAATGACTATAAGCGAACCAGGGATGTTAGCTGATAAATTAGGGTCCTGGAGGAAGGTGAATACTGAGTACACCTACCCCAGTGGAAAAGTATCGTCACAAATGGCGCCCGACGTGGGGCTGGGCGAATAATTTTCTGTTGTTGTAGTTTCGGAGTAGAGTAGTTGATTTTTTTTTATTTATTTGATAATTTGTTTGAGAATAATTGATTTTGTGCGTTGAAAATAGAAGAATTTGTAGCATTGATTATTGGTAAGATATTTGTCGAATTTATGGAGAATTTCGTGATGTATTATTCATTGAGAATTAATATTTAAGATAAAGATTTCTAGGTGAGAACTATTAGTTATTTCCTTTGTCTTGAAGTTGAAGGTTCAAGCTGAAAAACATACATTTTAATTTAGAGTTCTTTTTTGTTGAGTTCTGGAACATTCTATAAGAGATTAGCTTTTGTGCTAAATTAGACGTCGAAATTTTGAGAAATTTGAAGATTTTATTGTCTAAATTCACAGAATTATTTGATATAAAATTTCAGTTAAGGATTAAGCCTAATCCAGTTAGAAATATCTAGGCAAATCTCTCGCCATAAACAACTTTTTTTTTGTTTTCGATCAAGTACCAGCTCTAGTAATATTCCAGATTTTCTTTCGATTAGTATCGTTAGATTCGTGAAATTAAGTTAACAAAGAAAGTTCGAGACAATCTTTGTTTGCTCCCGGGAATGGACTATAGGAATTTTTTTTTTTATTTATTATTTTATTCATTTGAGTGATAGAGAAGGTCTCTATCACATGCTTTAGAGATATACTTTTTTTTTGAATCTACTTATTTTGCTTTCACCTGTAAATTCTTAGGATTTACTGTGGAAAGGTCTGTGTTCCCTTATTGTAAACACAGAAGTGCAAGTGTACTTGCTACGTACCTTTCCGGTAGTGAGGGCAAAATAAGCCAATCAGCGAACGCGAGAGAAGACTCGAGAGCGAATACCAGCGAGTCTTATCTCATTCTTGTCTTAACTGTTGCACAGTACAGACGCGCTTACGCACTTCAAGTGTCAGTTCGTGAATTAATCAAGCAATAATTTGTTAATAATAGTAATATAGTAATTATTGAAGTTATTGTGGTGGTGGTGACTCGTTTAAGCCATTAACAAAACAATCTAAAAGTTGTTAGTGGACGTGAAGGAGTGGATAAGTGCCACGAAAGTAGCGGTTGGATTACGTACAACACATTTATCGGTAAGTTTCAATCCTTGATACAGTTTATTGCATGATCTAGTGTGTTTCTCGGGGTTTTATTCACGTATTTGATGAGCTTTGATTATTATCAACGTGAAGATCGAGTCATTTCCACCTGAAAACATCGTCGGAAGATTGTGTGAAAGAAAGAAAACCCGTGTGGTAGTGCACGTGCCCGCGTCGTGAACGATA